GTTCTTGGTGCTTTACGCATGTTCCTATATATTGCCTTTCTCCTGTGGCTCCAATCCGCAATGTGTTATGTACGTCTGTTTCTATATGTTGGGCCTCTCCTGGGTCACAAATCCTCCCTAGGAGGTCCCAGGAGGCTCCAGGAGGCCACAGGAAGACTCAAGAGGCCACAAAATGCCCCAAGAGGTTCCAGGAGGCCCCAGGAAACTTCAGAGGGCCTTAGGAGGCTCTAGGATGCTCCAGGAGGCCACAGGAGGCCACAGGAAGCGCCAGGAGGCACCAGGAGGCCCCGGAAGGCACCAGGATGCCCCAAAAGGCCCCAGGAGCAGGAGGCCTCGGAAAGCCACAGGAGTGGTTTCAATCCCATGTGTTTTACGTGTGCTCCTATAGACTGTGCCCGCTCCCCTGTCTGCCGTTTGGCTCAGGCACGCTCTCCCGATGTGACACGCAATCCTCGGCTGTCTGTCTGAAAGGAAAACGTGCGCCCCTTCACCCAGCGTCCCATGTTATCCAATGTTGCTCTCCTCGTTCTTGATGCCACGTGTATGTGAAGTGTGCTGTGTCACGTTACCATGCTGCATTCGCCTGGGCGAGGACGCTCCAGCGCGTCGCAGAACCCCCCGTCCAGGTCCAGGGGAAGGGGTCAGGGGGAGGGGTCAAGACGCCCTTCCCGCCCGCAAGCCGTCCCGCTCACCCCCACCCAACCTCCCAACACATACGTAGCACCCGAGCCGGGCTCGAGCCGCAGCATTGAGCCGGGCTCAGCAGTCGTCTTTGGATGGGCAGTTACTGAGAGCGAATCCGCCGCCGCCGCCGCCGCCGCCTCTGCGGCCGCCGCCGCCCGCCGCCGCCGCCGCGCCGCCGCCGCCGCCGCTGTCCGCCGCGCCGCCGCGCCGCCGCCGCCGCCGCCGCCGCGCCTCCGCTGCCGAATCACCGCCGCCGCAGTCTCTGTCGCCGCAGCCGCTGCCGCCACCGCTGCCGCCGCCGTTGTCGCCACCCGCCGCCGCCGCAGCCGCCGCCGCCGCCCCCGCCGCCGCCGCCGCCACCGCCGCCGCCATCGCCGCAGCCGCCGCAGCCGCTGCCTCCGCCGCAGCCGCCGCCGCCAAATGTACTACTCTGTGTTGTGTTTTTGACATGGATGGTGGGAGGAGGCCGCATCGGGTTTGCTGCGCATGCTCCGAATTTGGAAGCAACATGTGTTTTGTATTGTGTTTTACACGGGGATGGTGGGGGGGCCCTGATCGACTCGGGTTGGCTCCCAGTCGCCTTGGGGCGGGGGGTATATCTATAGGGAACAGTGATCAAAACCCCTTCCCCACCAGCAAGCCGTCTCGCTTTTCCCCATTCGCCCCCCAAACACATACGTGGCACCCGAGTCTGGCCCGAGCCGCAGCATATTCAGCAGTCGTCTTTGGATGGGCAGCTTGGGGGCCAATCCGCCGCCTCCGCCGCGGCCACCGCCGCCGCCGCCCCCGCTGCCAAATCGCCGCCGCCGCAGCCGCTGCCGCCGCAGCCGATGCCTCCACCGCCGCCGCCGCCGCCCCCGCTGCCGCCGCCGCCGCCCCCGCCGCCCCCGCCGCCGCCGCCGCAGCCGCCGCCGCCGCAGCCGCCGCCGCCGCCGCCGCCGCCGCCGCAAGTGTACTTGTAATGATGTTCGACAGGGTGGGGGGGAGGCCGCATCGGGTTTGTTGCGCATTCTCTGAATTTGGAGGCATCGTGTGTTTCGTCGTGTTTTTTGTTACAAGGGATGGTGGGGGGTGTCCTAATGGTTCCTGGTTGGCTACCAGTCGCCTGGGGGAGGGGGTGGTTATTCATAAGGAAGTGATGGGCCCTCCCCCGAAGGGGAAGTGGAAACTCCCCGAACCACCTGCGCCCAGAGGGCTGGTGGGATTATGATTTTGCCTTGGTCCGATCTCCAGCTTGATCCTGTATAACGTCGCTTAATCCAGCGTCGTCCCGCTTCATCCGCGGCCGAACCTAAGCAGTTTGTCGGAAAACAAGGTTTCCCCACGCTGCTTCCTACGCCAGGCCAGGGAGCCCAGGCCTCCGACGTCGGTGGCCCATCGTGGCCCACCACCGTGGCCCCATCGTGGCCCCCAACGTGGCAACTCGTCCGCGTGACTGCGTTGGGCGGTTTAGGGCCTTCTGCCGCGGGGTCGCCGTTCCCTCAACAGTCTGTCTCAAAGGGTTATGGCTGAGTCTGCTATAGGAGGAGCAGCAGATACCCATATCTCTACCCTTCGCCCGTTCTGCCCTTTTTGGGCCTCCTGGATGGTCCTCGTTGCCACCGTTGGAGTTGCCTTGGAGTTCTGGTCAGAACGCACCCCCACCCGGGCCCCCGAAGTCGGTTGCCCGTCGTGGCCTCCCAGCATCGTGGGCCCCGATTGTGGCCCCCCTTATCGCGTGGCTCCGCGTGCCCGCCCATCGTCCCCCAGAGTGGCCCCCAACAATCTGTTTAGCGCTTTCTGATGGAAGGGTGTGATGTGTTTCCAAGGTTGTGTGCCACGGTTTTAGCCAGGTTGTTCTTTGTATTTTTTCTCTGGCGTTTATATTTGATTGCTGGCACTCTGACCGAGGCGGGCGAGCCCCTCCTGTGATGAGGTCGACCGTGCGCATTCGCAGTTTAATGGTAATGGATGGTTGTCCCAAGTGAAGTTGCTTGTTGCCTTGCCTTTGTTTCGAGTGCGATCTCTTCTGTTGCAAGCAGAGACCAAGATCTACTGCGATGGTCTTGGGGAACATATCCGTGCCCGCCTACGCGTACAACGCCCACAGCATCAAACATGTGGTGGTATCGCCAACGATTTAAAGTCTCCTCTAGTGTCCTCCGTCTGCTGTTGCTGGTGATCATTCCCCCCAAAATCGAGTATCGGCATGAGAAGAGAGTGAGAAGGAGGGGGTGGGGGGAAGGGATGAGGAGGAGGAGGAGGAGGAGTCTTATCAAGGCTGTGGACGTTGATTTGCCTTGATTCGTGCCTCTGGAAACCTCCAGGAACGTGTATAACCGCCTTTCAGCCACAACTGCCACCACTTCCCTCTCCGTCCTTGCGCTCCTTTCCGCCTCTCTCTCCTCAATTCGGCTGCCGCAGCCGATCCCAGTTTTGTCCTTCCCAGCTGTTTCGCCCTCGCCGCGCCTCCTATGCCCACTCTAATTTGTTCCGCCCTCGCGACGCGAGCTGGGTGGCAGGCGACGAGCTGAACAGCGACAACTCATCCTCTCTCACTAGGACACACACCATCGACTGAGAGCCTTTCCAGTCGATGGCCTTCGAGCAACAGGCTCGAGGTCTGCCGGCCTTTCCTTTCATATGTGCTTCGTGTTTCATCCGTTCGGATTGGTTTCTTGCAAGCAGAGCGCTGTTTAGCGCCTCGGCAGCTTTCCGCGCCAATTCGGTTTCAATCTCAGCCCCGCCGCCGTGCGCCTTCCTCGGTACACCGGCACCTCTGGCGCCTGGTGGCGCCGGGAAAGCCAGCTGAATGAGTTGATTCGCGAATCCCCCTCCCTTACTTCCTCCTCCTCCTCCTCCTTTCCTCCTCCTCCCGCCTCCTCCTACTCCGCCTCTACCTCCTCCTCGTCCTCCTCCTCCTCCTCCTCCTCCTCCCCTTCCTCCTCCCACTCCTCCCACTCCTCCTCCCACTCCTCCTCCTCTTTCTCCTCCTCCTCCTCCTCCTCCTTCTCCTCCTCCTCCTCCTGTCTTCGGCCAGCCATCCTCCGTTTAAAGTTGTGCGACTTAGGCAGCCGCCGCTGGCCGTTTTGTTCAAGTCTCGCGTGTGCCTACCGGCGGCAGGGTTCGCGGGACGCGCCAGGATCAGCGCTGGAGGCGCCTTGAAAGAGAATAGACCTGGCTGCTGCGCACCGCCAGTGCTGCTACGCGTGTCCCGCGGAGGAGGGGGCGGCGCGGGGGAGGGGAGACGCTTCGTCGACCAGGGAAATCCGCACGGACCTTCGACGGTCTGCGTAGTTGTGGCGTTTTGCTGTGCGAGGAATGCCCTCAGAGGTTAGAGACTATCTTGTCATACTCTGGCGACAATACGGGCGCTACACGATTCGCGCCAGCGACGTCTGAGAATAACAACGGTTCATGCCTAGACGGCGCCGGCGCGAATCTTGACGTAACGAGGGGGTGAAGGGGGGAAGGGCCTGCAACGGGCGTTCGCGCAAATGAAAAATGGGCCGTGCCGAGATGCCCCGATGAGAGGAGCCACGGGACGAGGGGGGGAAACGGAGAGGAGTGGTGTGGTGGCACAGAGGGGGATCGAGGAAGCGACGGGCATCAGCGGGTGATTCAGGCCCGTCGCATTTGCGTGGGCGTGGAGGGAGATGGCGGAGGAAGGGGAAGAGACACGCGGGAAGGCAGGGATAGGAGGGATGATTTGAGGAATGGAAGGGCATCTCCTTTTTTCATCTCTCTCTCTCTCTCTCTCTTTCTTCCCCCTCTCTCTCTCTCCCTTTGTTTGTTATCTGTCTCTCTTTCTCTCTCTCTCTCTCTCCCTCCCTCTCTCTCTCTCTCTCTCCTTTCTCTCACTCTTCTGATAATAAGCACATGTATACAAGTATATCCATGAATACACAAGTGTGGATCTGAGGGTTTTAGCGGAATGGGGATGGGGGGAAGGGTGTTGGAATCGCCGAGGGGGCACAATCGGCTCTTCTCTAGAGGAGCGGCGTCGGGGCGCCAACTTCCCGCAGTTCAAGAAAACAGAATCGTCGATTCTGTAGATTCGCATTGCGTCGTCAGTGGTGTTGGCGTTTTTCTCGTTACCACCTTGTGGTGATTCCGGATCGGTGAGGACATCAAACACCTCTGATTCGCCAGTTGCCCGGGGATGCAAGTAGGCGCCTAAACGTTGGCGGTAGAACCGCGACCGCATCGACCACCGCATGTTTTCGGTTGTGGTCGCCCCCTACATCGGCGCCCTCGTGGTCATCCCGTCGCCCTCCGCTTCGTTCAATATTTCAGTCTTTTGGCTTAAACCCATCAGCAAAGATTCAGTCGTTTGCCTTCCTGAAATGCCGTATCCTGCACTGTCTGAAATGGTTGTTCGCAGCGCTAGTTGATGGTCGACACTGGTGGTTGGTGCACGTTATGCTTGTCACAAGTTTACAGAGACCGATGCTATCTTGCCCGCGTCGAGCAAGTCGGCGCGGCGCGGGCATTGTCGGGTGCTGTCTGTTGCGCGTTTGGGTCGGGAAGACGCGCCGGGGCAACGCGCCCCTATCGGCGGCCAGGCACGAGGGGCTGCAGGGCGGTTCGTTTCGCGCGATACGTCGAGCGGGTACAGTTGCACGCTCTCGCCTGCGACAGACGGTGTAAGCCCAGCTGTTCTTCCGCATTTCATGCGCCGTTAAGCTTTTGGCCTTATCGATGTGGGCCATGGCTCTCTGCGCGAGCTCGTTGAGCATTGCCGAGAGATGCCACGTGTGACACGTTCACCGTGTCGACATCATGTAGCATTTTTTGACAACGACGCGATGGACTAACAATACATGTTTCCGACGACGGCATCGATTAGGATTGTGGCGATGGCGCAGGTGGTATCAGCGACTGCGTTGATAGCGGTGGTGGTCACGCGAGGAAGAGGATGATGAGATGGAGGAGGCAGAGACTGCATTCAACCGCGTGGTATCGTCCAGCGTTTTCGCTGCGTCGGGGCAGTCGCGCGCTCCAGCTGGGCAGTATTGGGGGACGTTTGGGGCGCTCCTGGCCCGACGTGGACCTCTACCTTTCGGGTCGTCATTGGGTTCCTCTGGGGATATGTTGTAGCATCGTTGCCATGGGATCTCTTGAAGCCATCGCGGAGCCTGCCTGCGCCGTTCAGGGAGCGTTCCAGGCCGTCCTGATTTCCTTAGGTGCCATGTTGGGCTGGTTGAGGTTTCGTTTCCATAGTTGGTTGCGCTGGGGGGTTATTTGGCATTGTTGCGGCCGTTGGTTCGTGCATTTTCAGGCGACCGCAAACCCTGTCGGGCCGCCGCGGGGGCATTTCGAATGTTACTTCGTTTTTTTTCCCAACCATCCTGTGGTGTTGGGTCCTCGTTTTGAAGAGACAGCGCCCCTCGTCCCACCTCCTCTCCTCCTCCTCCCCCTCCTCGCCGTCCTCTCTCCTCCTCTCCTTGCCTCTGCTCTCGGCACACCCCTTACACGTTTCGTAGCCCCATAGGGAGCTCCACCGAAGGTCCCAGTGGCACAGCCCGCATGCGGTTCCTCCACCCAGGGCAGCGTTTCGTAGCCCCATAGGGAGCTCCACCGAAGGTCCCAGTGGCACAGCCCGCATGCGGTTCCCCCACCCAGGGCAGCGCTTCGTAGCCCCATAGGGGCTCCACCGAAGGTCCCAGTGGCACAGCCCGCATGCGGTTCCCCCACCCAGGGCAGCGTTTCGTAGCCCCATAGGGAGCTCCACCGAAGGTCCCAGTGGCACAGCCCGCATGCGGTTCCCCCACCCAGGGCAGCGTTTCGTAGCCCCATAGGGAGCTCCACCGAAGGTCCCAGTGGCACAGCCCGCATGCGGTGTCCCCACCCAGGGCAGCGCTTCGTGGCCCCATAGGGAGCCCCACCGAAGGTCATAGTGGCACAGCCCGCATGCGGTTCCCCCACCCGGGGCAGCGTTTCGTAGCCCCATAGGGAGCTCCACCGAAGGTCCCAGTGGCACAGCCCGCATGCGGTTCCCCCACCCAGGGCAGCGCTTCGTGGCCCCATAGGGAGCCCCACCGAAGGCCCCGTAGAGGGCTCCACCGAAGGCCTCACCCAGGAACGTTTTGTGGTCCCACAGGGAGCTCCACCGAAGGCCCCAGGCGCTGCGCCCGCATGCGGGGCGCCTGCGGGGCCCTGTTCGCCACGGCCTTCGCGAACGCCTGCAACGTGGTGTGGGAGGAGGAGCAAAAAATCAACGTCGGCAGCATGGCCAAGCACGCGAAGCGGAAGACGTTCCAGTTCCTGCTCCTCGGCCAGGGCGGCAGCGGGAAGACCGCCATGGTGCAGGAGATCGTGCTGCCGGCCATGGACGCACTGTTCCCTGTGGAGCCGGGCAAGGCGAAGGCCACGCAGATAGTCTGCGCGAAGTGGTCCCAGGCCGCGAACATCTCCACGGACGCTCACAAGGCCGTCAGTTGCCACCGGGCGGGTGTCATAGAAGTGCAGTCCTTCAGGAACAAGGACATACCCGCGGGGGGCAAGCTGAAAACGCTACAGGACACGTGGGAGGCGGTCAGGTGCTTGATCCTGGAGGAGGTGAGCATGATCTCGCCTAACTTGTACAACATGCTGGCCCTCCGGTCCTACCTCGGGCGCAAGGCCGAGTGGGGCGCGGAGGAGCGGGAGTACGACCAGGTCGGCGGAGCCTTCGGCCGGATGCTTATCGTGATCCACCTGGGAGACTTCTTGCAGCTGAAGCCGACGGGAGGCAGGGTGTCGCTCATCTCCAGCTTCGAGGAACTCGCGGCGGCGGGCATCAACCTCGCTCCAGAGTACCAGGCCGTGATGAAGCTCTTCTGCAACACACCGCTGTGCTTCGAGCTCCAGGCGTCCAACCGCTTCAAAGACCCGAAGCTCAGGGATCTCATGGCGTTCTTGCGCAAACCGGGGAAGCAGGTCCCTCCGGCCATCCGGGCCACGTGGAACGCCATGCAGCTGCAACCCGATGATCGCCGGCTCCGGGAGGAAAGGTTCCAGAACGGCCACATGATTGGGTCGTATTGGAACACCGTGGCGCGATGCGATGGATGAACATGCGTGCCCAGCGGGACGCGGACGTCCTGAAGAAGCCCCTCTTCCTCGTGCAGGCCGCCGACAGGTCTGCCCCGACGATGAGCAAGAAGGACGCCGCCAAGATGATGAACTGTGCCAACCCGAAGACCACGGGTGGCATGCACGGACTGTTCCTGGTGCGCGTGGGCATGCGGATCCGGCTCCTGGAGGCGCTCGATCTCAAGAACGGCCTCGTCAAGGACGCCGAGGGGCAGATCGTGCACATCGTCGTGAACCTTCGGGATCGGGGCGACGTCGAGAGGGCCGAGAGGGACGGAGGGAAGGGGATATATCTGAAGCGCTGGCCCCAGGGGTTCCGGGCGCGCATGGAGAAGTACGCGGGCGCGCTTTTCGTGGGCGACCTGGGGCGCCACGACGACAGCCCCACGGGGGACCTCACGGGCCCGCTGGCGTTCATCGAGCCCCGTGCGTCGGAGCCGTTCACCTTCCGCACCTCCGAGGTCACCCGGGCGGGCTTCCCGTTTTCACACGGCAGGGTCATCACCACGGTGGCGCGCCAGGGGCGCGCTATGCGGGAAGGCGACGGGGCGGGGGAACGGCGCCGCCGGGCAGTCTACGGCCGAACCCTTCGCACGCGAGCGGCCCGCAGCCGGACCTTCTCTCGGTCCCGTGGACTCTCGCCCTGGGCCGTCGGCTGTCTGGCGCGCTGCCCCCCCCGGCCGACGCCGCCCAGGCGTGATCCTGGACTGCGGCCGCCACGAGGTCGGGGACGGCAAGAAGGAGGGCGACGACTGGTGGCTGGAGCTCTACGCGCTGCTCTCGCGCGCCACGCGCCACGAGGATCGCCTGCTCACGCGGGCGCCGCTCATCGAATTCTCCCTGGCAGGGCCGCCGGCGGGCTTGCGGAAGCAGCTCGAGCAGTTTGCTGCGCGCGCGAAGCGGCGCAGGAGGGGGGCGACGGCCCTCGCCAGGGAGCTCGGCTTCAGCGAGTTCATCCGCGAGGCCTGACCTGGGAAGCGGCCCCGCGCGAGCCAGCGGCGCGCGCTGGTTGTCGCTGACGCTTGGATGGCCCCAGCTCGTCGTCGGGATTTCTCGCCCGAGGATGACCGGCGCCTGTCGGGGGATTTCACCCAGGTCGCGCCGTTTTCTCATAGCCTCGCCGCGCAGCACGGGGGTGCTATCCGTTTACATTGAGTCGCAGAGGACGACCCCCGCGCGTCGATGGGATCCCTCGGGATGACCAGACCGCGTCGGCGGGGACTCCCCAGCCACTTTCGAGCGGCGCCGCCTGCGCAGTGCACTCTGCGTGGCTCGCTATCGGCCCGGAGGCAAAAATGTCACCCCTCGTCTCTCGCTCCTCTTGCTTCCTTTTGCTTCTTGACCGCGGGCCCCCCGGTCTCGTCTCTGCCGTTGCTGGCCTGCCCCTGACATTTGCGCGGCTTCTCCGTAACATCATCCTGCGTGCCCAGTAACAGGTCTGACGATGCGATGATGATGCTGATGTGTTGGATCGCCCAGCGAGCTCTCTTGCTTCTCCAGCCACCTCCTGCCCGCGCTGTCTTGCGCCTCGTCCGTGCTGTGGCGCAGCGCCCATGACAACAGGGGCCATGCCTCGCGCCACTTGCAGTTTGCGTGCCCCCCTCTTTCGTCTCAATTCCCTCGCGGTATTCGCAGCTGCATATGGTTGGGTCCTTCGCCAGGCTATTTTTTCCTGCGCGGTCTCTACTTCGTTTTTTCTGCCTGCTTTAATGAATGCGACAGGGGCGACGTCAACCACTGCGGCTACTTTTATCAATTCTAACACGTTTATCCATTGCTTTACTGTTGTTGCTACGACGACAACAACAACAATTACTAGTACTACTACTACTGCTACTACTACTACTACTACTACTACTACTACTTCTACTACTATTACTACTACTACTACTACTACTACTACTACTACTACTACTACTACCACTACTAGTACTACTACTACCAGTACTCCCACTACTACTACTACTACTACTACTACTACTACTACTACGACTACTTCTACTACTACTACTACTACTACTACTACTACTACTACTGCTACTACTAGTACTGCTAATACTACTACCATTACTACCACTACTACTACTACACATTACTACCACTAATACCACGACTACTACTACTACTACTACTACTACCACCACCACCACCACCACTACACTACTACTACTACTTACCACCACCACCTACTACTACTACTACTACTACTACTACTACTACTACTACTACTATAACTACTACTACTACTACTACTACTACTACTACTACTACTACTACTACTACTACTACTACTACTACTACTACTACTACTACTACTACTACTACTACTACTACTACTACTACTACTACTACTACTACTACTACTACTACTACTACTATTACTATTACTACTACTACTACTACTACTACTACTACTACTACTACTACTACTACTACCACCACTACTGCTACTACTACTACTACTACTACTACTACTACTACTACTACTACTACTACTACTATCACTACTACTATTTCTAGTACTACTACTACTACGAGTACCACGACTACCACTACTACTATCACTACTACTACTACTACTACTACTACTACTACTACTACTACTACTACCACTGCTACTACTACTACTACTGCTACTACTACTACTACTACTCCTACTACGACTACTACGATTACTACTACCACGACTACTGTTACTACTACTACTACTACTACTACTACTATTACTACTACTAC